ACAAACATTCAGGGTCAAGGCGCCTACACCTTGTAAACAACTAGCTATCGCGCAAAGATAAAGCGGCATTCGAGAGACGGCTTCCTTGCGGTTTTCACTGCCCCGCGTCATAATCAGCCGTTACGCAGCAGAGTAGTTAGCATGAAACACACGTTAAACAGACAGAAGGACTACGAGACGACAGCAGATGCGCCACTGATGTAACGTCTCAAGGCAAGCAAGGTGGACCCCAGCCCGGAAGGCGATACGGACCAACGGCACAAGGTTTAATTGTCAGTAACTTCATTTCACGCCGCCAAGGCAACTTTTGTCCATCTCAAGCCTTGCGTCACCCTACATCTGGTAGACAAAACAAGGTCCTGCTCAGTAAGCGGCGACCGGGCATACGTAATACGTGCCCGAGCCAACGCAACTTATTCAGTGCTATCTGTTGTCCTAGGGAATTAGCTATATTATCACTACCTAATACTCGCCTAAGCGCAACATCGTTGCAGACACACTGGTGTCATCCGACACTAGAAATGCTTCGCAGACAACGGTGATGGAAGATTTGAAGGCACCCCAGATCTTCAGACGGAAGGGGCCAAGTCTCACTCCCATAGAGTAGAACGGCTCTCACTGTGGTCATGTAAACACGGCCTTTCTGATGCGAAAGATGGCACAGATTCAAGAGCGCAGTCTTGAATTCTGCAATACGTGAACTGACCTCAGTGCCTTTGCGCTCAGCGTTGCTGATGCGACTGTCAAGATAAGTGAATCGATCAACTACCTCGAGTTCCTCCCTATCTAGAGTCAAGGGATCATCAAATGGCTGGTGATCCTGTAACAATACTATGGACTTTGAAGGTGCGAAGCGCATATCAATTAATGGGGCCATTCTAGAGAGGTTATTCAAAGTAGATTGCGCCGCATCAACATCGTTAGACAGCAAGACGATATCGACCGAGTAATCAAGATCAACTAACCTTTCACCAGGCAGCAACTCAACGCCTGCATTGTAAGATTCCGCAATAGAACACTCCATGATGGGGTCCATGATGAAATTGAACGAAAATGGGAAAAAACGGACAACCCTGACGAACACCACTTGTTATTGGAATGCTATCCCACGGATCACCGTAGACCCAGACGAGGCCTGTAATGTTCGAGTACAAAGCACGTAAAAGGTTCATGTGTTTCATGGTCAAACCTTCGGCGTATTTCAAGCAGCATGCATCGATCAACCGAATCGAACGCGCTTTTGGAATCGAGGGACACAGCCATTGTCGATCTGCGATATGCGTGGCATTGATCTAGCACCCGCCGCCGACTGAATATATGGTCTATACAGACGGCTCCTGGGCGGAATTCCGTTTACACTTCCTTAATCCGGGATTCCCGTTCCACAACGAGACGACGAAGGAGACGTGAGGTCAGTAATTTTGTCATCACCAGCGCTAGGGCTAATACCCCTGTGACTTGCACAGTCCGTACGACTGCCCTTATCATATATTGCCACTATAATCGATTCACTCCAGTTAGCCGGGATGATTTCTGCTTTCCAGACCTGTATGAACAGAGGTCAGTGGTTCGCAGAGGACTTCATCTTCATCCTTAACTAGTGTAGAGGTGATCGAATTCGGGCCAACAGCACGAAAACGATTGACGGCTGTGATCGCATTTCGGATCTCAGCCTACGATGGCTCTCTCAACTAACTGACGATGGTTCAGCCTGCATTATCTGAGTATGAAGAGTTCCGGAAGCAGGGGCCAACTGAACTGATCTTGAAAGTGTTCCGCCCAACCAGCCATACGGTGCTCCTTATTGTGGATCGAAGCATCCGCGCCCTCTCTGATTGTCTCACTGACGCCTGGTTTTATGGGACCAATGGTGCGGATCAGCTGGAAGAGCTTGCGATAATTGTCTACAGTTCCAGCCTTCTCTATTTCTTGAGCTCGGATAATCAATCAGGCTTCCATGTCAGCACGCAAGTTCCGCTTTATTTCGCACCTAATAGTCCGTCTGTTCACACTGGGTTCAGAGCCAGCAGGGAGGTTTCTTCTGGGTTCCAACAGATTCACCGATCTCTCGGATATCCAGTGACTGGTGCGGTGACGACTGACAGTGCCACAAGTAGATGCTCCTGCATCGCGCATTGCGGCCAAGATCCTATTCTATTGAAGTTGTGTCATTAGGAAAAGAGAGCGAAGTTCGGTACGCAGGGTATCCTGGTAGCCTTATCTGACCGAAGACTGAGATAGTTTCTCAGTTGCCAATGGAGGGAGACGCTTAGTGCGCCTCCCCGTAAAGTTCATGGAGAAACGACAGCGTACCAAGATATGTTCAGAGTCGACGCAAGTATTCCAGAACGAGCGACAATCTAGGATGGAATCACGCAAGCTGTAACCCATGGCAATGTGATATATTTTGGTTCATCGCTGGCCAACTACAACAGGACGCCAAGTGACACTTCGACGCCCACTGTATCTAAAAGTGCGGTGTTCCTAAGAAACAGGTGGTGCTCCGCAAAAAGTTGCAACAGACGCTCGCCGTTGTCCGTCCGTTCGGAGTCCAAAATTACCATCTAGCTGAGCTTCTGAAGAGCCCAGGCGACCTACTTGTGCATTCATATCTCCTGCAAGTATTAGAACATCTGAACTAGTAGCACCGCATAGTAGCGCGTTCAGTTCGTGGCAGAATGTGTCCTTGGTAGCATCAGAATTGCAGTCGGTAGGAGCATAAACAGAACATCACTGTAAGGTACCACATTCATACAGGCGCAGTGTCGATTAAGAATCCGGTGGTTCAACTGAATAAAGCCGAGGATTCATAGGCAACCGGGTGTGCTTCATGTCTCAGCTGTAATGCGGAGAAGTACGCCCTACCATTGAACTATAAGTATGCATTCCTTTGAATTCATGGGCGATTGGAACTTCTAAAAGCTACAGGAGCCTCACAAGTGTACCCAGTAACTTCTTATCTGACCTAGCTATCAGGGACGACACAGATACCCAGACAGATGAACCAATCATTCATTTCAAGCGGCTTCTCGGTGATGGGGGAACGTGTTGACATGGCAACCCTTCTGAAGCGGTATCCCATTCAACCACTGAAAATGTTAAGCACCTATCGAAGATTGCGACATTCCGTGCTCGTCTACGCAGCAATGCCTGTCCAGTCCGGCTTATGGAGTAGAATTAACAGCCCATGTAGCAGTTGGTTCATACCTCCAACAGTTAACGGAACTCCGATGTCATACCAGCGCAAACGAGTGAAACCGGTAAAAGACTAGACGAAGTAGATACACATATTGGATGTTGCCTGCCCGAAAACACTGCATTCCAATATCCACATGTCTCATCAGTTATGGTCCCAGTGATCGCGTTTACTAAGGTTCACTTCAATGCGAATTGCGGTCCACGTTGAGGTAGCGCGTCGTAATCCATTCACACAAGTGACTCCAAATGGCCTCCCGACGAAGTGGTTTGATGTTATTGCTTGATTTCATGTGCAAGTAATAAAACCGTCGCACCAGCCAAAGTAGTCCTGAACGGTATGGGATGTAGAAATGAAAGCTGAAGCCGATGGGTCAGTCAGCAGTCAATGAAACTGGAACGGAGCGCAGTGGATTGTCAAATTGCAATTCGGTGGGACAGAGACTGGGAGCAGGTGAAAAACCGAAAGTTGCCATGGCATTCTTTGTATACACTCAGTCCACGAAAACGAGCATTAGCAGTTGACAGATCAGTCGAATGAAAAAACGAACTAGGAACCCCCTCCCTCATGGCCACTCAGTTCAGTTCAGTTGATCAAATAAGATCGAGCAGTGAAATGCAGTTGCCACAACTCAGATCGCAAGAATAACAATAAATAACAGCGGCAAGGTAGTAGGGTTGGAAGCAAATACAATGTAAAAATGGAAGCAAGAAGTGCATTAAATTGATTAAAATAGTACGAAGGTTAACAACCGTATGCAAGAAACCGAATGCAGGAACGTCACTGACTACGTGACTGTGCCATATCAGATACGGTCTCTAACGATTGGTGTGAACCATCCCAAGGCCCCCATCCAAGAAGACGGAACGCACCAGTCCGACGAAGTCGCTCAGTCAATTTCTTCATACCTCTATGTCACGTCATGGAATGGCCACCTCGTGGTTTCACCCAACTTGGTGCAATCACGGCGTATAATGTATGCTGAAGAAGCATACGGAGGACATGGTGTGGTCAACGTAAGCGACTGAGCTTCAACAAACACTCGAGTGTGGAACCAGAAAGCTTCTTGCCAAAAACCAACTGGCGGACCTCAGCACTGCTCACCAGATGAATGGTATGGGGCCACTCCCCACTGGGTCGTATAGGTGAAGATGCAAGGCAAAGCAAAAGACATTCGAACAGGATAAAGTACTCGGTCCCGTTCATGTCTGCAAAAGTAGTGCTTGAACCGCAGTGCAACGAATCCAATTGTTCACTCTGATTCTGACTTTAGGTAGAAGCAAGGGGGGAAAACGAGGTAGGCCGATCTGTGAAGACCGATGTTGCTTGCAAAAAAAAAGACTTGCCATCGGGTTAGCAGGTAAAGTTTAGACGAAGAGGAGGATGTCGATTACAACTTTGATCACGGTCAGATCCCAGTGAGGGTCCAGCAAACGACAATAAATTGGAAAGAGCGGTACAAAACACCATGTGCCAATAAATATCCTCAGGTTTAGAAAGGGCAAGTCGATAAACGCTGATTTGAAGAAGAGATAAAACCACAAGTCAACAACCCAATCGGAGCACCTTCGACAAAAAACGTTGGGTATCCCATCCTGAAAAATGATGGCAATGCACCATCTAAATTAGCCATGGTATTGCTCTCCAAGAGTGAAGTGAGAAATTGTAAACTGCTCAGGGACCAGAAGGTAGGAAGACACAAGGTGAGGACGCCAATTAGTTAGAAGGATGCGAATTTGAGTGATACCATGGGAAAGCAATATAAGTGACCACAGTACAAAGTAGTTAGTGAGAGTTCACTCACTCTGATACGCCAGCATTGGCGGTAATGGCTGCGGGACACGGGCCAGAGGAAACGGTGCCTGGGGGAGCACTGGATACGGCGCCAGCCAAACGGCTGTAGAAGAAACAGTTGAACAGATAGGTGGCCCGACGCTGAGACTCTGTGAGCTGTTCAAAATACAAATATTTCAGATAGAAATTGATAATGGCGTCGTTTAAAAGACCCCCAGGGGCGAGACAGTCCAAGTCCGCTTGTGTCAACGTAACACTATCCGTGGATCCAGGAGGTTGATAGTCGAATTTACTAGAGGGCCAAAAGAGAGGACACAAAGTTCCGCTAGAATTCGAGAGTAGGTTAAACATTAGTAAACCGTTAATTCTTAGAGTCAACGAAAATATTACTTCAAAAAAAGGATATAGCGAAAAGCACCTGACCTTACCGACTAAATATGAAACTTTGTCGGAAAAGCGCAATGCACACGAAGACGAGGAAAAAAACCAAATGTAATTCCAAAAACATTAGTTTTCGAGTACCCATAGAGCAAATTTGTCATCGGTGATGAGAACATTTCAAATAGTCCGAAAAATAGTGCACAAAACAACCGCCTTGTTAGCCAGATGTAAAGTTTGCTCGATCCAAACTAACAATTTCAGAGATTAACTGATTTTTCAGAAAGGAAAACACAAAATGTACGTGGTCAAAAAGCTGACAAACGAGGAGCCATGAATCGCTGGAGGAACAAATGAGTCTTTAGCAACCGAACACTGAGCAGATAGCGGTTCATCATGCAGTCTCACAGTTCCCAATAACATTGCCACCTGAGCTAGTCAGTTGAATTCGACTTAACAACAGGTGCTGTCGACCCAGTTGCCCTGAGTCAACTGGCAAACTAGCAACAACCGTATTATTGCTGCCAACAACAGTAAGCTAGGGCAATCTAAGAGAAACATAAAAAGTAAATGAAATAAAAGTCACAAATAAGAGAATGAAGACAAGAATGCCATTGAGAGATGGTGACTACACCATATCCGGACAGGACACAGAAGCATTGCTGCGATTGATCTTGGGACGACACGGATCGACGCCCGATTGAGTCTATTCCGTCGCAATGAGACTAGACTTTATTGTTGTGTGATGATTTGCGTGTCTCAGTGACTCATTGAGCTAGGCTGTGGTGTGGGTTGTACCTTTAAAGTCATTCGCATCAGATTCGTCAAAAGACTGGACAAACTCAGTCTCCTGGTCTTCCAGGTTGGGGGCTGGGGTGAGGATGGCTCATTATTCCATAGAACGGGCTCCCTGTATCCTACTGCCTTGCGGTTAGGCTTTTGAACCAAAGGCTTTGGTTGAGAACCCTGTCCAGGCCTAGGCAACCTGACAGTATCCTGCTCACGCAATACAACGATAAACTCTGCACACGATTTCTTGATACCATCATCGACACTCTGTTTGCTGCATTGAACGGGATGTATGGGGATGAGAAGGGTACTGCTCAAACCTTCCCGGTTTCTGATTCTACCTCATGCCTTTTCATTCTTATGGTACCATAACGAACTTCTTCTTTATCTATGCTGTTTTCAACCCTCCCAATCGTTGGTCCTCCTATCATGCTATGATGGGCGTTTGTCGTCTAGTTTCAACTCACATACAATCTCGGAGCGTCACCACCCTTTGTCGACAAGTCCCCGTATAATCATGCGGAAAACGTTAGTTTATCCATTTTTATTCGGAGCCATCAACCCTCCCTGAGACTGATAGGCCTCAGCGTAGATGGCTTGATAAAGATCGGTTAAGAGAAGGCCCCTACCCGAACACCAGAGACCCTACCAATTGATATCTGCCGCTTATCGGAAAGCTGCCTCCAAGACTCGAGCTATTTGCTCATTCTACGATCTCCTTCACGTGAGCGGGGCGCCACTTACTGTATCTATCCGCAGATGATGCAGCTTCGAATACCGATCAAGCCAGTGTGGGTATTGCTCTGGGCTCCCGGGCTGAAGTTGATCTGGTAGAATGGATCCCAGTCAGTGGCCGGTTGTACGACATTAGACTGAATGGCTTGTTCAAAACTTCGAGATCGCAAGAAGCCAACCGGTATCTGATTGTCATCGCTGTCTCGGTCAAATGAACAATAGCGCCAACCCGGTAACATAGGACTTCTATCGTCAATCTAAAGAGCTCCTTCGGCAAGAAGAAGCACGGATACCGTAGCACTGGTTGGTGAACTGAACGCCCAAGTTGAGAAACTGTTCAGTGATGAACAATGAACTTCTCACAATACGATGTCTGGATGTTGTGGCCGTCACAGAGGATAAGCAACAGTGCCCTATCTGCTCCAGCGAGCAGGGTGGATAGAAGTTTAGATGCTACTGCTCAGGCCTTATTGTGTTCTTATTCCCGCTCTTTCACTTTTTCATCCATATCGCCCCGATTCAACTTCAGTTTAACCCCCCCGTCTTCAAACCCAAAATTCTCACACCTACGCCATTTTCCTTCAATAAGCGTTTGTGTTCCAGTTTTCGCTCACAGGCAATTGCAGAGCGTCGCTCCAGTCCAGACGACAAGTGCACGTTCAACGAAGCAGACGTCAGTTCATCTGTTTCTCTTTAGAGCCTTCGATTTTCGCTAAGATTCGCATGCCTCAACGTGCGCAGTTTGTTCAGATTGGTCAACAGATAGTATCTGTCCGAACAATAGAAACCCTCTCGATCGAGATCCGCGGTTTATCGGGTCCTCGCTTGCAAGACTTGAGCTAAGTGATCACCATGAGATCTCCCACATGTGACACGGGCGGCATTTTTTCACTGCACCTGTCCGGAGATAACGACAGCCTCAAATGCTGGTCAATCCAACGTAGGTATTGATTTAAGCCCTCCCCCGAACTGAAGCTGCCCTGATCGAGTGGATCCCAGTCAACAGCCGGAAGTCCACTGTCAGACTACCTGGCTCATCCAAAGCTTCGAGGTCGCGCGAGGATAAAAAGTGTCTGTTTGGCAAAGCTGCATACGCGGCCATAAACAGTAGCACCAACTGAATGAGCTCATTCAACACAAAAAGTACAGATACCATAGTGCATGGCGTGTTGATCTGAACACTCAAGCTGGAAAACTGTCCACTGATGAGCTTCATCTGAGCGGCCAACATGGAGTAGCCACCCGTGATGATAACGGTGAGCGCTTGCCACACTTGTATGAAGATGCTCGCGGGTATTAACTTTCGACACACTCGCAAAAAGGTGACATCGCGTTCACCAGCTTCAGACTAGCCATGGACGCAGAGCGATCGATCATATCGTGATCGGCTGTTGGCGTAGGTTGCGTTCAAAACGGTAGCTAGATTTGGAGCACAAGCGTGGAATGCAACCATGCGTTTCGGTGAACGCCCGCAACGACGCTGAGTCATCATCATCATCATTATACATGTCAGCTAGAGGTGGTGAAACACCCCCGCTATTGTACCGCAAACGACGCTGTGAGCACATAGACATCCACCAACTGGCGAAGAAAGATGTGTTGAATGCGTATTAAAGCACGCTGGCATCTGGGCTGCGCACTCGCTCAGTGGACACAGTTGAAGGTCACTGCTCACCAAACCTGAATAGCAACAGTTATGTTTTCATACAACGGAAGTGATTGCCGATCTGGACACTAGGTCTCAAAGCAGTTTCTGAAACTACTGGATGATTACCGACACATTCCGGCTGAAAGCGAACATAACGAGACTCGCGAAGACTTCAGGATAAAACTGCGTACTAGCATGAAGAGAGACCACGAAGCCTGGTGGTCTCATCGTGCATCAGAAATGAAAATAGCCACTACCCTTGGTTACCACAGGAAGTTGTTCTGTCTGATACGCAAGGGACAGTAGGAAACCTGGTGTTAACAAGAATGTAATATAACGAGGCTAGACATCCTATCCACAACCTGGCAAAACGTTTGCAGTGTTGGGTTGAGCACTAAGAAAAGCAAGTTACAAGCTACATAGCACAGCCTAACCCGGAAAAGCACCAGACGCGTTTCACCCTATTGGGGCTCATCAGTGGTGCGCACCACTGACGAGCCCCAATAGGGTGAAACGCGTCTGGTGCTTTTCCGGGCTAGGCTGTGCTATGTAGCTTGTGAGCTCCTGGGACGAAAACATTAAAATTAAAATCCTCCTACTCATTAGTAATATAAAAGCAACTTATTAGGCTGGAACTAATAGACACGCTACTGACTGGCGACCGTACTGCTCCCTGATCCCCAGGATCCGTTCTCACGCGCAAAGTCGAACGTGAGGTCAGACTGTTGAAAATGAATAAGGTCGAATGAGCAAACAGACTTTCTCCAGCCCTTTTCCAATTTGGGGGACCTACTCTTGTGGATGATTTGCATAACTTACTAATGAATCTGTGGGAGAAGGATACTGTCCTAACAGACCGGAGCTGCTACGTTATAGTCCCAATTTTCAAAGAAGGCTCCCGTTCGGAATGCAGAAACTATAGAGGGACCAGCCAGATTTTAAATGCTTTTAAGCTACTTACCTCCCATTCTTCCCAAATTGGCTGACACCAGTGAAAGCCAGATTCGCGAGGATTAAGCCGGCTTTCGTCGAAATCGAGGCTGCACTGACCAAATCGACACCTTAGGTCAATCTCTGGAACCCAACCCAATTATATTGGCGACGTACTGTAGTCGTGTTCTTCGACATCAAAAGTGCCTTCGATTCGGTGGGTTGCTGTGTCCTTTGGGGCTGCATGTTCAGGAAATGGGTGCCTGAATAATGCGTAAATGTCAAAACAGCGTTGCACGCACGTAGTCTAGGTAGAATGAGGACTTACGCAAGCTGTCGCTGCCCAACAACATTTCCCTTCATCTTTAGCTTCGCCATTGACAATGTCATGGAAACTGCGTTCACTGTGCACAAGTTAAAAAGGTATGGAGCTAGGTTCCCCAAATTAAACTTTGAGATATGGAGCTGCTTCCCAGTGAGCAACTATTTGAGTATGGACGTGATATTGTCCTCATATGTGACAACAAATCTGTCAAATAGCACAGGACAAATTAGCACTGGTTGTTGGTCTTTTTCGGCTTTGCTTTGCATCCTCAACATGCGAAGCTTTTCTCCATGATTGACAGGGACTGTTACCTGCGCTGACCGTTGGAGCTAAGCTAGAAGTTGTTCGGGAATTGAAGTATCTGAGCAACTGAATCAGCGCTTTTGGGATCGAAGATGAGAATACGGATCGGATAGCAAAGGCATGGGGCACTTTCGTCAATTTTCGCAACTTGTGGCGTTGGCGCAAAATCACTCTCGCCCTGGAA